TATCAGCAATTAATTTCTTTAAAAAAATTATTTTCATAACCTATATTAGTGATGAAAAATATAATTAACAAATAAATTACGCTCAATGCATATGTAAATAATAGTAAAATCATGTTTTGCTGTGTAATCAGAGGTAAAAATATATTCTTCCTTTTAACTTTTTTTTTTATAAATAAACTATAACATGACTGACAAAAGCCGAAATTTTCTTTAAAAAATACAATTGAGTGATTTCAAACATAGAAAACATTTATTGCTGTCAATTACAAGAAGTAAAGGTTATTTCATAATCAATTTAAATATTTTTACGCTGACCTTAATGTTTAGGAAGGTAAAAATGGTCTGAACCACGGGTAGTTCAAATGTTAATCACGTGGAGTTTTCCGATTTTAAAGATCTACTTCCTTATTTGAAGAAACAAACAAAAGATGTTTACACAGGATTGAGAGTGGACAATTTGGAACAATCTTTATTTGTTCTTCTAAATCTGATACTATCATTTTGAGGGGTTAAATCACGGGAGAAAATATCGTTTATCTTTATCAATATTTGTGCCCGAACCATGACATGTTGAATGCCTTTTTAAAAGTTTATAACACCTTAAAGAAACATCAGTGTTTTAAAAATAACTAAATGAAGATTAGGGACGTTTTATTTTTTACATGTGTAAGAATTATGATCTATGAATTTTCGAATTCTCTTTGCAAAGGGAGATGTTTTGAATATTTTTTATCTGATCATAATGTACCTCGGAAACATAGCCTTTTTGATTTTTCATACATTGAATTAATTAGTGAAAACAGTATTGAAAATCAAAAGTAAATAAAAGGAAAAGAGGGCAGAGCACATGCGACCTCAGAAACGCTATTGATAGAGGTGTGTTTGTAGGAGTGAGCCTCCCTTGCCGTTTATGCCTGCCGTCTGTTAATTGTCATGATCGGGAAATAATTGAAAACTCGTTGCCAATATTCGCACAATTTCGGCATTCATTTGCATAATATAGAAATAAATTCTTTCATTTGATGTAGTATGTTTTACCCTTGTAATTCCTGAGCAAATTATCATGTTTGCTATCTATTTTGTACTCATTTTAAGTAACTAAGACATTTGGACTTGCTTAATTGATTCTCATCTTAGTATGACTGCTAGTTCATTAGAAATTTGGGCTTTTTCTCAGAGTTGCAAAACCCCTTTAACTTTTAAATCGACAAAGTGTGAAAAACAAAATATGAGGTTCCATTTCTTTTATTTATCTAAGATATTAAAATATAACTAAAGAATTTTTGTAGGTTTCAAAATATTGTTAGACTGATAAAGAAATTAATACGGAAGTGACTGTTTATTGAAAACCTCTTGAGGAATCAAGTAATCATAGGGTACCAATGTTTTTGGATTTGTTTTTTCGCTCTTATTTTCGAATTTAAATCCCCACGAAGAGTTATCGTCAATCTATTTATTTATTAATTTCTTTGTATATAAAGCTATCCAATTACAACGAACAGGTAACATTTTGCTTACCAAAAAACAGTGATCCCTAAACTTAAAATGATTTTTAAAGTAAATTAACACAATTTTTGTTAGAATTTCCTGAGATTTTATTATATATTTAATGTTCTTAATATAAAAAAGAAAGACAAATTTTTCCAAGTTAATTCTTCCATATCAATCGCTAAATTGATATAAATTATACTTAAAATTAATTCTCTTCATTTACATTTTAACCAGATTTTTTACTTCCTGGTGTTATTTTATAACAACTTACTGTTTGAACTGTTATGAAAGAAGAAATAAAATAATGAGGTTGGAAACATGAATGTAAATCAAGAGTTTTTATTGACATATACCGTATATACTCGCCTATAAGTCGGTCCGCCTATAAGTCGGTTGTATTTAATAAGCTTATATATCAGTGGGACCGACCTCATATAATACCCTTCATCAATAGCTCGCCTAAAGTCGGACATAGAGTTTTGGACAATAGTTTAACTCCCAAAAATCCGACTTATAGGCGAGTATATACGGTAATTGCTGCGACTTTTCTAGCTTTAAAAATATATACACAGGGTTTTCCATGAGCTGTTTTATTGTCTTGGTCGAGACACAGTAATTTTTTTTTCGACACAGTAACGATTTAAATCTTATGCGTGCGACACAGTAAGATCTGTGATAATCAGAAAAACCTTCAATTCTTAAAGGTTGAGCACTTAATTAGGGCTTCATTTTATATAATCAATTATCTCCTAGACACTCGCCTGATTTTACGCATGATGGAATTAGAACAAAGACACTCGTCAATTAATATGTTTTCACACTTCAATGTTACGGTTAATTGGTACATTAAGTTGCATTAAAAATGGACAGTATAATTTTTAAATAGTATTTAAATGTCTTTTACGTAGAGTCACGAAAATACAGCGAAAGTTTAGTGCTTTGCGCAACATCTGCAATACAGTAAAATTTCTAAGGATGGAGAAACCTGATGTATGAAATATTTAGCATCAAAATGTAAATATGACACGTAAAAGCTATTAAAAAACTATTCATATTTAATACCCGTCGTAGGCCATAGTTCAAATGTCCATGATCTCAACTCCCTATCACATATACTTTATATAGGTATACATTAAAATATTTTTTTTTTATTTTCATGTAACATTGACGTTCATGTGTGTCTTAGATTATAACAACATAAAATTACTTGATAATAAAAGTTTGGTTTGCTTCCTTGATTGATTGATTGATTGATTGTATATTGTTTAACGTCCCTCTCAGGGCATTTGAGCAGTGAGCGATCTTTAACATGCCATGCCTGCCGCTGACACGGGGCCTCGGATCGGTTTTTAGGGTCTCATCCGAAGGACCCGCAACTTTCACTTCAAAGTGCCGAGCGCATGGCGAAGGAACAGTTGCTACCCATTTTTTTATCGACTTAGGTCAGTCGCGGCCGAGATACGAACTCACGACCTCCCGATCACGGAGCGAGCGCTCTACCGACTGAGCCACCGTGAACGGTTTGCTTCCTTGAAGATACGCAAAATAATATTCGGAAAAATGACATAAAAAAATAAATAATTAAAAATCAATAAAAATAAATCTGAAGTAAGTTTGTTAAAAAAATTACAAAAAGCTTTAGGTCCATAAAATCAATTGAGAAATTTGTGTTTAAGTATATAACAAATATGACAAATGATGTATAGATCCTATTGACAGAGTGCAAAGTGTTAATTACCATATAATAAACTATAATATAATATACTTCCTAAATTATTTTCAATCATTCAAATAAATTTTATTTCAATAAAAAAGTAATGATCGGAATTTTACATTGATGTGTAAAATTATGACTGGATCCGCTAAAGTATGGACCTTCCTTAACTTTCTTATATTTTATTAATATGTAAATTTTCTGGCATATATACTTTTTTCCCTTGGGAGTAATTATATACTACTCATATCTAAGACATTGCGTGGTGGTGATTGAACTCGTGTAAAAAGGTTTTCGTAAAGTTCCAAACCTATTCTGGTTCAGTTTCCTATTTTTTCTGTGAAAGGAAGTAGCTGCTTTATATTGATTAAATGTCTTGATCAGAGTCAATAAAGAAAGTTAAAATTTTGTATTGGTTTTACAACTGCTCTATTATTAGAATGTTAATGGGGCCTTTAAATTCCAAATCAAACATGTCTGGTCTGTGGGGAATGATGATGGCTAATGTAGAAAAAAATAGACTACGGAAAAGTACATTTTCATAGAAAGAACACAAATATTATTTAACACTTCTTTTCTGATATGATTGGGCATTTGACTGATTTTTAGTATGACAAAATTCTTCTGAAACACATAGTCAATACTATTTACTCATTCATTATAAAGTAGCCCTTTTAAAAAGTAGATTTCTTGTGAAGTCAATGTGGTCTTAAATAAAAAAAAAGAAAATAAGATATGAAAACCAGTCTTAAACGTAAGATTTTAAAACTTTTTATTTAAAAAAAAATGGAATTTTGTAAAAGGGATGATTTTAAAGTAAATAATCAAAATATTTATAATTGTATAACGTCCTTTCTTAAGAGTGCGTTATAATATTCTAAAACAGTGATAGCATTTTAATAAAGTTTTGAAGAATATTCCAATTTCTAAGCCAGGAATTGCCATGAAGAAAAATTATTTTCACATTAATTACGTACTCCCTATGAATAGGATTGGCGATCTTATAACATTTTCTTTTTACACGCTAAAAGATAATTTGACTTTTTTCAGAGCTTATTCTGGTCTGCATAACATTATTTTATTTATAACAGCATTTAAGCAAAGTGGGATTTCTCAGCTATTATACACATTTTCGGCAAAGATTTAAGTTCTTTCCAAACACCACAGACTAACTCTCAGCACTTTTTGTGAAGGTGAAATTAACACCTTTAAAGCTGTATCATTTTTTTTCTCGAAAAACAAGCGTATACCCTGGCAATATCTTCATTTCCTACATTCATCTCAACAATTCTATTTTTATTCAAGTCACGTGACAAACAGCTGATACATGCAATATAACTAGTACTGTGTATGGCCTAGTCATGTCCATTATGGATAACTATATTACATTTTTACGGGTATTCATGATCAGTAGCTTTGTTACATCTTTTTTTAAAAGAAGTAATATATATAATATGAACGGTGCTATGGGTCCTTCACATAGCCGAGTAGAAACAGTGCTGTCATGCTGCCTTCTACTATCACTAAGGTTTTAGCATTAAAAAAATCAAGGTTAAAAGAAAATTCGTACAAAGTATCTCTTACCATTTTATTTTTCCTCGGCTATCAAGTGTGGATAGTGGGAACTGCTTCGCAAATTGAATCAATCATTTATTGTTTACACGTATTTTACAATTTGATGACAGTGGCCTCAAGCAAATGAATCCAATTCGTGTCAAGTTTAAAGATTTATTTTATCAAAAGTAAAAACTTCAATATTTCAATAACAAACTTTGAAAAAAAAGACACAGGAGTCAGGTCATGAAAAAAGATAAATTTATTAGTAGTTAGTCAAAGAATACGACACAAAAATGTTCCTTTCATAAAAAAATCCTAAATGAAATTTATACAAATATTTTGTTCTAACTATCAACTTAGGCCATTTCAAAGTTATGACAAAAATTTGTTTGCACGGATAGTTATACAGACACAAATATTTCTTAATAAATTGTTTTGCTTACGATTCAAATTTTACTTTTTGTTTATTTTGTATGCGTAGTTAACACAATATTCATCGTACTCTTGGTCATACGTGTATTATGAATTCAAAATGTTGAAAAAAAAGACTGAAAATACATTTTTTCTTCTTCAGAAATAGTTATATTGCTTCAAATGAACATTTTATTGCTTATGCCCTTATTATATATGAGAGAAAATCTACCAACAGACAGACAGACAGACAGTGCGTAAAGTGTTCCGATACCTGATGGATATTCACAATCATTTTGAATATTATGAAATTCAATCCAGAGCTCCTAAAGACAATCTATGCGTAGATATGTATTTCTTTTTAAATTAAAAGACCCAGTGAACACAAGTAGGAAAATCAATAATCAATGTACTAGTATATCTGGGTAGTTTCACACACGTTAACATGTAAATGAAAAGGGATATGCAATAAAATTAAAGTTGGTGAAACCAAAAAAATGATAGATTAAAATATGTATATACAATAAGCCTCTAGATTATATAAACTCCATTATATTCAATAAATGTACATTTAGATAACAGTGTATGGATTGTCACACTTTTAAATTATTTTAATCAAAACAAAATAAGTAAATTAAGGTCATTTTTGAACTCCAAATAGTTGGTCCAGTTTTTCAGGTCCATATAATTTACTGAGGTCAACAGTTGGTTGATCAGGCCTCAGAGAATGTGCACTTGGCGGTCTCGAATACATCGCAGTTGGGGATTCAAACTTTAGCAGGTTATCGCCTTGAAATACATCCTTATGATTTATATCCATATTTTCAGGATAAATGTTCACTTCATCGGGCACCTCCTGGGCAGATCTAGAGGAGCTTTGATTCATTCTGTATAGAAAAGAAATAGGAAACAAAGTCGTCATTTGAACTTCATTCCAGGAGTGAAAGACCTGATTTAATTCAGGAGTATGTAGTGTACAGATTTCATGTTTTGGATCAATTCGTATGAAAATACTTACTTTTAGTTAATAAAGAAACTAAAAAGAAGAAAAACAACAAAAGATTTGTTTTACGTACCTGTTATTGAGTTTTGACTTTATCATAAATATAGTAACAATCATTATCACTATAGTGACAATTACAACGGCGACAATAAGCCCTATGATCCCTGACGACATTTTGTCTTCTGTATTCATTTTCTTATTTCCTGATGCCCTTGTTGATGTCAATGTTGATGATAATGGTGATGAAGTAGTGGTTATTTGCGTTGTAGATGACGTGAAACTCGGTGACATAGACGATTGCTCTTTAGTCTGTGTAGAAGTGGCTGTGGTAAATGTCGCTTTGGATGACTCAGTTCCGCTGGACAACTGTAAAGTAGTTGTAGAGATTGCTGTTGAGGTCAGAGGTACTGATGACGCAGTAGTTTGTTTTGCTGAAGATGACATCATTCCTGTAGAAGTTATGTGACCGGATGATGCAGACGACACCTGTTTTGATATGACAGGAGTAGTTGTTGTAAAAGGTGTACTGCTAGAATCGGTTGTGCTGGTTTTTCCTGACGTAGTTTGAGAGGATGTTGTCAATGCAAGAGGAACCGATGTTTGCTTTGCTGTCGACGACGTCAATCCATTTAACGTTGTTGTTTGTTTTGTTGTGCTAGACAATTTTATTGTAGTTTGGGATATCGTTTGGGTGATTGTTGTCGCTGGTGATGATGCTGTTTTATCAGTACAATCTAAGAAAGTGTAGAAAAGGCTACATTGAATTATCTTTATATGAAAAAAAAAAGATTAAAGAAAAAGATACTACGCCTTTGTGTATACTTACAATACTAAACAAAATAATTTATTATTTCAATTCTAAAAGTCTGCTAACCGTTTGTCCAATTGAATTGGTTCACGCGTGGTTTACATTTTGAGCACGACTCGGTTGATTGGTTGGTATTTTCTCGAATGCATTTACCATCGATGAAACAAAAACCATTCTACAAGACAGAAAAAAATACAATGAAGACAAAATACACTTATGTTGATATTGAAACTTACCTGTTCAAAAAGTCGTGACGATAACATATATATGCCATTGGCTTAGAATTCAAAATATTTTTATCAAAATGAAGTAAATAACATGGTAGTAACATGTAGAAAATTTCACCCATTTTTCTATTCATATACACTTCATTACATCTCGTGGAGTGTTGCTATTTTAACAATAGTCATTGACGTCTTGTCATTGATAATAAAAGTAAATGTTTCATGTTTGACCTTCCTAATTTATTATTGAGACCTTTTATCAATCAGGCCTATGTTTTCCAAATACTTCATTCTGCAGTAAAACACTTGCAAAGTGATAGGATGATTTTGAATATAATTTCCTTTTTTCGTTTTATTAAGGTACCTACTTGTAATGTGAAGTATATTTGGCTGGTATCATTGTTGACAATTTGACACTCTGACTGATACACGAAGACATTGAAGGTATTTGTGAAGGTCATTTTGTCGTTAGACATATTAAACGCAAAGTGTGTCACCCATGTGTTGTTCGTTTTATAAAGCAGGTCACAATATCCTTCATAAAGAGTTCTTTCTTCAAGTTGTGTTTCATAAAAGTTCTGTTCCATTACATTATTTGTGACTGATATCTAAAAAAAGATGGATAAGAAACAGTTATATTTCGTAAAAAAATATTGGAAAAAATATGAAACATTTTCATTTTTTCTATCAATATTTACCTCATTCCTAGTCATGAAGCAAGTTGTATTCATGTTTTCAACAAAATATTGACCGAACATTGTGACGTCATCGCAAGTGTCCTCTGAGCGGTCACAAAGACCATTCCCAAGTAAACTGGTTACTGTAGGAGGAGACGTAATATCAAACGAACAGTCACTTCCTCCAAATCCACCATTGCAGGTACAAATTCCTGTAGTATCATAATCAAAGATAACAGGTTCATTCTTAAATCATCACATGTAAATAGTAATCACGTTATTTGCGGAACAGGAAACTGTAGCTTACATTACAAGTCCAGCGCACTAAGTTTGCTGAATTAAAAAAAAATGAAATTTTCTTATATAATTATCATTATTTTAACCTCATTACACGTATCATCAACATTTGGTTAAACTTGTAATTGAGTTGACTGATTATTCTTATGTTTTAACTTATGTTTACCGTTTGAGCATTCGCCGTGATTACTACAGTTATTGGGACAAACGCTGAGTATTTCATACGTTATAGCAGGTTTCTCTTTTTGAAGAGTGCTATTGAGGGTAATGAAAGTTTGACATTCAGAAATGGCACTCTCAAGATGAAATGACGTCAAATTTGGGTTTCCAGTCAGCTAGAAAAGTTTAAATATTCAACTTTATACTGGCAATTGGATGTAGATGAATTAGGACAATTAAGTGAAATAACATGCTTATTTCATTGAATAGTAAATTTGTTGCAAAGGGGAAAAAAGAATACTCACTGAAACATCGGCGATACAGTTTTGAATAGAATCATTGGAGAAATCTGCTACATGTTCTAAACATGTTTGAAATGGAATTGATTGATTAAATTCTGAGTTACAAATCGCTATAACTTCTTCGTCCGTGTATGCAGCCTGCCTTCTTATCCTCTACAAACATGTAAATAGCAATATATTATGTTACCATAGACTAATATGCATAAATTCCTTTGTAAAAACTGATATGTGAAAACCTATTATTATAAATAGCAAATTGTAAATTAGATTAAATTGAAATACCAGCGGTGTTATGTTTTCCACGGGGTCTGGAATAAACGACGACATGTATTCTGCATGTCTTTTACTCCTACTATTACTACTGTGGAGAAGACATTGGTATTCTTTCCCACGGGTTGTTGTACCACAATCTGTGTAGCTACGGTAACTACATTCAGTCTTATTCTCGTGGTTACACGTACAAAGTTGTGTTTTGATAAGTGAAAGAGAATTCAGGCTTTGAAAATCCATGGAATCAGAGAGAAGATCGTCACCAGCTGGTACTCTAAAAAGTATGGACCCAATGAATTTATAAAACTCTGAAATGGACAGAATATATACTGACAAAAAAGAATGAGTCGTATATTACCTCCACGAAATGGAGAAGTCATCTGGCGGATTATAATAACTATAGCTGTTTGGGTTGTCTATAGTCCCGTCTCTTCTTGTTAGATCGTTCTGGATACCATCTCCTAAAACGCCACAAAGACCTGAACTTTTTCCAACATCCGCCACCGAGGGGTAGACTTGCGTTTGTAAAAACCAGTCACTATACATGTATAAGGTTGTGGTAACATAGGTCCCGGTTGGAAAAAATATCTGCCAATAAAAATACTTCATTTTATGGGATTGTGAGAACAAATAAGTTCAACTAGAAGAGTCCCCTCTTTCTCACAATAAATAAGTAAAACTACTCTGGTGTTTCTGCTAAAGAAAAGGACTCGTCCTTTCATTGGAAAATTAATTAAATCACAATACAATCTGATAATTTCATATTCCTCGTCACCCATTATTTTATCTTATGAAATATAGGCTAACATCATGTAAATTGAAAAAAAGCTAATTCATTCATTTTGTCAGAAAATGTATTTGGGAACAGTGAATTCAAGCGTATCGCGGATTATGCCGTACGAAAATGTCTCTTAATATCGGATTTAATGTGCCTCTTTTTAATGCATTTCTAAGGATATTCACAACATCGAATCTTACCTTATAAGACATATCTGTAACCTTCATAACCTTCAGTGATTTGTCAGCACAAATTGGAAAGTTGATATACCGCCTCCCGTTGCAAGCATCGAAGATGAAGACGTCTTTCCCAGATCTAGCAGCCAAGGCACATATACAGCGTGCATTAGGCCAAAAACACTTGTGATGTCTGACCTGTACCTAAAAGAGACAAGACAATTATTCCAATAGCAAAACAGCAGGGTATTACTGGAGAGAAAATAATCGAATACTCTCTCAAAATATGTAGATTCCTCAGTCGGAACGCTCGTTCGTGTTCGGAAGGCCATAAGTTCGAATCTCGGCTGCGACTGACGTAGGTCGATGAAAAAATAGGTAGCAACTACTCTTTGCCACTTTGAAGTAAAAGACGCGGGTCATTCGATTGAAACCTTAAACATGGTGATGTGCTACGTTTGACGTCGGAATGATAAAGATCCCTTACTACTCAATGACCTTGTGTTGAGTGCTGAGTAAAGGTATCAATCTCATCACCGATATATGGTGACGTCCTATATGAGTGACACATTTTCGAATAAGACGTAAAACAACAAACAATCAATCAATAAAATTGTGTTTATCTTACCTCCTGATCATGTATTTTATTCTGATATAATACACTCGTTATTCCCGTCTTGCATCCTTCGTGCTGGCATTCATAATAACTAGAAAACACAATTTGAAATTTATTATCTATCTAGCGTAAAGACCGGAATAACTCACAATAGTTATATAATATTTTCTCATACAATTCTCAAATAATTTACCAATATTTCCACCATCAGTATTGATTGATATAGTAAGTTCTTTTATGTATTTTGATTATACATATCTTTGGTCTTGATTCAGATTATATTATAATATAATTCCAATATTCATTTTAGCTATTGATTTCCTGTGTTTTGATTGGACGAGAACACGTTCCAGAAAATTTTTACACATCGATAAATTCTTTCAATCAGAACTACTTTCTTGATGACACTACTAGGTTATCGTATAAACAATAAAAGCAGTTATTTCTGGGTCTGTTCTGGCTAAATAATGAATACAAGAAACTTTAAATTTAATTAGGGCTTAAACAGAACTGGCAACATACTAGACTGCCTAACTGATGGACGCCGTGAAAATGTTTATGTCACTGTCCGATCACGAGTGTGAATTTTAAAAATCGCTGTCTCAACGTTCATACGTAGAAAATAAGCTCGGTCTGTATCGTTTTGACAGGGAAAAGAAACGTACCTCAAACTCTTGCCCTATTAGCATCTCATTCATATTAACTTTCTATATTGTTCCTCAATATTTGAATAAACAAGTGCAAATTGAAGGCGTCGTCGGTCTGCAAGTTTCGCTTTGAGAGTTGTTGTTTATGTCAACATGGCCATGGTCACAGACGAACTATTCTGTAGTAAACTCGTAATTACGATATTTGTTGACTTAAACAACATTCCATTAGTTGTTATAAGTTTATTTATCGATTGTTTTGACAATTTAAGTTGAACTATATCGAAATTCATCTCGATTACGTTCCTTTACGGTAAAATGTATTCCTACGCCGTCCAGAAATAACGGATTGTATGGAGGCCTCAAAAGGAAATAATTTAAATATTTTTAAAAATTCGATATTGGAATTATAAGAATTAAACGTTCTTTTTGAAAAATTTATCGATGTGTAAACTCTTGACATTTTACTCACAAACTTAACATAAAAGTGCTTCGCACTTTTATTTAGTTTGTGAGTAAAATGTCAAGAGTTTACACATCGATAAATTTTTCAAAAAGAACGTTTAATCCTATAATAAATTACATTTGTATAATATCATTGAAATGAATATTTCCTCTTTTTAAAAAAAAATCTTCTTATTGAAAACAGTAAAAGGTTCTATAAAAAGAGGAAGTCTATATTTGCACAACTCATTTTCTTAAAATTGTCATAATAATAATTATAAATCATTTGATAATCATCTCAAGTACTTTATTTTACGGAAACATTTAATTATATATTCTAAAATTTTATTTTAAAATTTGTAGTCTTTAGATTTATGAGTAATGAATTAAACTAACATCAAATTAAAGGAAAGAATCCAAGGTCGATAAAACATAACTTGAGTATGCATAATTAATCTTTTATTTTTAAGCGGTTAGCTATCTAACCGCTTTATGGCATGGGCTCCAAAAAACCGGAAACTTCCATAAGGCGCTACCTATCGACAACGCTTTATCGCACGTAACCTTATCCTTCTGCAACCAAAACCGGAAACTTCCACAAGGCGCTACCTATCGACAACAGCAACTTCAGCAAAGCGCTTCCTATGATTTGTATACTGTTGGCGTAATACGCCCCCTGGTGAAAGATTGACAATATGCTGTGTACGAAGAGTGGCTATTATAACAATTATATCGAATTCTTATTAGTATTTACCAAAGCATTGACAATACTTAGAACACTAACTTCAAAGAACTGAGAATTTCGTCCTAATTACATGTACATCGTGCGATCGCGATTTATAGCAACTGTTAGTTTATTTTTGAAAGTTGAACGATACGGTTAATTATACAGCAGGTTGAAGGTTATTACAGACTGCAAAAACATCAGCAAATCTCTAGATCGAGTTTGATTTTCCTTGCCAAAGTATTAAGAAACAACATTTACATGTATTAAGTCAAGTCATACCTGAAAAACGTTTTTATAAAAACACCGAATACATCTGCAAGTTTTACACTTTTTGTAACGTTTTTATGGAAACAATAGGATTGCCTCCACTATGAAACGTTTGTTTTCTTCTCTGTCTAATAAACAGTTTTAAAAGCTCAGCTCCCAGGGGTAAATACTCTGCTCCGTCTTTAATAATTTATTACATGTACAAACGATCATAAGGGATCACTTACTTTTAGTTTTGAAAAAAATAATGGGGCACTTAAAGTAGTAAAATTAATTTTTAAAAAAATGGATAAATATATATTAATTTTAATCGGCATTGTGACCCTCTTCTAAAAAATCAACCGATATTATTATTCACAGAAGAATGAGGTATGAAAAATTTCGACAATTAGAAAAAAATTAAAATTTATACTTAATGTTTATTTATAAGTTTTGAAAATTTGATTAATTCCTAGGGAACGTATTATTAGCTGAGAAAATACTTTTTAAATTTGAATTTGTCCAATTCGTCGATCATTATTTTGAGCGTTTGAGAAGAACTAAATTAAGATACAGGTGTTTAGAGGCACATGGATAGAAAAGAAATCAGTGTATATTGTTTAACCGACATATTGAAGAAGGTGACACTGATAACTTCTTAAGTTACACTAACTTTAAGTGTAGATTTGAATTTTTAAATACTAGTATTTTTTTTATTAGACAACTTTCCTTTTCACATGTTTTATTTGAGAGCAATATTGCATGAAGAGTATATGGCAAATACACATTATATGTCCTTATCTAGACATATTGTGCAAGACTTCCTTTAAATGATTTTAAATGATTCTCATATACCATTTACTTTATTCGAACATTTACTTGTTTGAAAAGTCAATAAAGTACATTTCATAAAGCTTGATAATCTTGTTTACTCGCCAGTCTTCCCGTACAAGTAGTAGTTCATAATATTACAAAACGGAAGTATTCAGTATCTGTATAAAAATACAGAATGATCGATTTAAGAAGAAAAGCTGACTCCTGAAAGTTCAAGAGGTTGGATTCGTTGCCTAGAAGAAGTAAGCATCCCTCGTTGACAGGTTACACCCGCAGTGAGCCTACACATCTGGAGCTCTCTGATATCAATACATTTACAAAGTCTCTGCTCAGTCATCCTTTTTTCTCTGACTAGCCAGCTGTAGATCTACACTACTCCAAATTCATTATTCTAAAGAATTTAATTTGTCATTTTTTTTAGTTGTTTGCTATATTAGGCTTTACAATTACCTAACTTCAATAGAGCATGAAAGACAATTAAATTTTTAACATCAACATAATTGTTTTCATCCAGAGAACGATAGGATGCCACCAAGAGAGAACTTTTAAAAATGCACTTCCTGTCTTTCAAACTGAAGAAATCTCATGTTTAAATTTTGAAACATGCATTTTAATCTAATTAAAATTTATTTAAATGTTCCAAATCCGCTACTGCTTCTCAAACATCTAACATCCCATTCGGGGTCACATCAGAGCGACCTTTCGATTATGAATACATGTACCAGTAAGCACAAAAACTTTGGTCATGTAGATTCAAGCCTCGGTAAACAATTCTCAAATTAATTCCACGGCTTCATTATTGAATATTGATGCTGTCTTACGTTGAATTAAAGTAATTCTGGAATCAATTTCATGTATAGTCTGTAGTCTGGCATCTGCACGTGAATAATGCAAACGAAAGAGCACAAACTATACAAGATACCCACACGTCATACATAACACAGCTTATGCAATGCATATTTTGTTTACTACAACTCCTTGTTTTGGTTTGGTGAAAACAAGAAACCCATCTGATCTATAAGCCAAGATTTCGGAGGAACCGTTTTCTTTGGCTAATCGAAGATTCACTCTTACATGACCCCAAATATGATGTTGTTAGATGTTTGAGAAGCAGTAGCGGATTCGGCACATTTAATTTTAATTAGACTGCATCCATCTGTGACATCAGTTTGGAATGCTATTGGTTTTACTATTAAATAAAGTATTACAAAAACAGAACGCCTGTTATTTTTTCTCTGATAACAATGGACAAAGATATGCATACTTAAATATCATCATTCCATGCACTTTTTTCGGTACGTATTAGATGAAAGCATGCTAACCGCTTTTCAGAACTTTCAGTACTTTGATTCTTTTATTGGAGCTAGATGCCATATAATATATTTTGACTTGTACTGTAAAGAAATATTGTATATTTGTTTTATACTATATGGTGAAAAACTGTTCCTAAATGACATGTTTTTTCTTATACATAGTGTACTAATTGAGAAAAACTACAAAACATTTTGCATTGTTAGTTATACCTTTTTTCATATGATCTTGGAATCTCGCTTCGTTTAAGATAAATGTAAGAATTTTCAGTATATATATATAAGACAGATTTTATCATATAATTTCTCCTGTTCTAATAATACTCACTATCTGTCAAATGTTCTCATATGAGGGTCAGCATGTGAGTAACAATACGTGCCCTTCCACTCTGTATGGTCGTCAACGATATTGATCTTAAACAACATGATAAAAATAAAATAAATTTCAAAAGAAGATAAACATGTTGCAGAAAAAAGAATATGTACCCTAGTTGATAATCGCAGTTTGCATTATTATAAGCAAAATAAATTGAAATTTGCACTCTCGGAGAATAAAAAAAAATAAGTTAGAATAATTCAGAAAACATACATAATTCTATAAGATTATTAAAAGGTAGACACATTGCAAATATGACAACTTACTGGGACGTCAGGGAGCATCACGCCTTCGTATACTGTTGCTGCCTTCTCGCCTCCACCTAATGTTTTCAGCCGAAGTAACACACTATTATCAATTTCATAACCAAGGCTGTCTTTATTATGTTCCCCAAACGAAGTTGGGGAACATATTGTTTTTACTCTGTTTCTTATTATTATTATTTTTCTTCTTCTTCTTCCTGGAACTTTTTTGTCCGGGAATGATCTTGTAAACTGTTCGTCCGATGTAGGTAAAACCTTTTTAGGGTTAGTATACATGTTATGTAGATTTGCGGAATCAAGGTCATTTTGCGCGCACGTGCTTGCAAGAGCGTGCACGTGCGACACGTGAAATGACCAATATAATAGATATAGCCACAAATTTTCTTTTTTTAGATGAAATGCTTTGAAACTCATAATGTGAGGATATATTAGTAGTATAGACATGACAACATGGTGAAAATAGCAAGATCTCACGCGCATGCACGTGCACTTCGCTCTGATTGGCTGCAACTAAAGTCTCAATATCTTTCTTGTTTTTTGACGAAATCCTTTGAAATTTTGAACATAGCCATGCATTAGGATATCCTACAACAAGAAATAAAGCAATTATCATGAAAACACGTGCATGCACGTGCGCTGCAATCTGATTGGCTGAAACTTTAAACAGCTATAACTCCCTTGATTTTCAACCAAACAGGATGGGATTTGGAATATAGATAGATGTAATAGACTTCTACAAGTAGTTATGGTCACCATGCACATGCATACACGTGCGTGTACATGTGCTGCAATCTGATTGGCTGAAACTGTAAATAGCTATAACTCCCTTTGTTTTCACCCAAACGGGGTGGAATTTAGAACATAGATAGATGTAATGGACTTCTACAAGAAGGCACGGTCAACATGCTCATGTATGCACGTGCGTGCACGTGAAATGAATAAAATCAAACATACACTTGAATGAGCGTATTTTTAAAATAATTTTGGATTAAATACTTTAATATTCAGTGTATTAAAAATATAGATTGTGTAGACAAGATGATATGGTCATGACGCAAATGCACACACATGGGCACGCGTGCAATGCTAAAGTTTAAATGACTTTTATACACTTCTTTGTAAATATTGTTAAAATTTCAGATGCATAGAGTTTGTCTTATTTAATGAAACTTACAGGGAATATGACACAAAAAGGGAGTTGGGGAGCGTTTGGGGAACATCTGTAACGGTCCCCGTTACAATTAGCACTAGTTTTGTATTGTCATTGTGTATTCTTTGTACCACTGGCTGCGGTCGTTGTATTTGTGTCTTTCACTATATTTGAAACTCGGAATTTTTATTTCACATATTTTTGAACTGCCAGCAATTGTACAGTCTGCAATTATGTCTGCTGGGAAATCCAGGGAGATTGATAAGTTTCCAGTATCTTCTATGTTAAATGCCGGCAAGTCTAACGTGTGTGTCGCATAAGGTATTGTCGGTCGAATTCTTAGCGTCGTTTCTCCCTTTCTCGACATATTAAGAACCGGTGTTAATATCTAAACAAAAAAATACTGGCATAAGCGATGGAAATTTGTAGTTTATTTTACGTTTGAGTATAGTTACAACAGGAAGGAAATGGAGATACGGTATTCAGTATCAAAGTCCATAAAACAATACAAAATAGGAGCAGAGCAAAAACGGACCTGACCTCCGAAACATCAGAGGTGGAATCAGGTGCCATGGAGGAGTGAGCATCCCCTGCTGACCGGTCACACCAGCCCTGTGTTCCTTGTCATGAACGGGAAATAACGGGATAAAAAACGTTGTCAATTCAGTGTATAATGATGGACTAACAATTAGTATGAAAAACTTCAGTCAGCATTTGACTCAATGATAAATTGTATTGGCTGACATGGTTATTGTACGAGGGTCATTCAATCAGTAATGCAACTTACATAATAAATGTTGAGGGATTTAATTTTTATTTTTTCACTATTTAAGAGGACCTAAAGACAGAAAATCCCATGTATTTTTCTATTGTCTTCGAATAGAAATTCACTTTTAAAGTGAGCATGGTCACTACACTGAATGAAAATCTGTTTATAAATGATCTCTGCCACGAAAAAAAAAATAACAGAGTATGTGAAAACTGTGCTTTTTATACAAATCGCCGAAGAACTCATATTTAAGACATGATTTTATATGTAGAAAAGCCATATCTTTAATGCTGTATACTTTTCAGATTGATACTATAACTCAGAGATAAAAAAAGGGAGTTAAAACATTGCAATCAATCTGACCGATTGAAATTTGGAGGGACACCAGCAAATATCGATGTTAGGTGCCACATGATATCTGAAAATGCTTAATTTACATGGAAAGACATTGTTAAGATACTAAACATTAAATCATCACAACATTTTGAAGAATTTTGACAAACAAAAAAAACCAAACAGTATATCTATCAGAAAGGTGCTCTATTTTCTTACAAATGCCTTAGAGAAAATATGCAGTAAATGTGGCAACGGTCTATTTAAAAAGGAAGTTTTTTTTCAAATTCAAGATTTGATAAATTTTCTTGATAAAAGACAAAACATAGGTGCACTTTTTATATCCGAAAAACAAGGTTATTAACAAAATATGTGAAATCCAAGAAAAGGTGTCATTTTATTGTGATAAAGAGGAGGAAGTGCTCCAAACACGTTTTATTAGTTTTCGTGTATTCAGAGAGATCCTTTAGAATATGTACATATATCCAAAGGAAGGACTAACATTATTAACTTTTATGGTCCAATTGCACCAAGTTGCATTTTGCAGATTTCTTGCAAGGGTAGTCCAAATTTCGGTTACCTGGGTATTTTTCCTGTGCCTGACATCAAAGAAGCATATAAGCTTAGAGAAATAAATAAGATTTTGAAGAAAATAAAGTGAACATAACTTTTACATTGATCATATTAGAATGATATAAGACATTGTGAGATCTTTTTAGTCCCAAACCACAAGAAATCAATCAAAGGAAGATTGTACAATGCCAGATTTGTCATGGAAAATGATATCCATCAGTGCCTTTAAGGCATCCCTTAAGATGAGTATGCTGAGGTTTTCTGTGCATGGATACAAACACATAATACATGTGTAAAGGGTAACAGGGAATGCCTTGAAGGATTGGAACTATTAAGAATATGTATTATGTATTTTTTTCATATTTTTAGATGACATGTTGCATTATTTATTGAACGACCCTCGACTATAAATTTACGAAATGATGACTTAAAACGAGACTATTGATATTCTTGTTTCATCAACTTGTTTGTCAATAATTTACCTCGTTTTAGAAATTGTTCATACGTTGAGCATGCTTTTGCGTATCGAATCAACTGAGATATATATACTCCGTATGCAGGTGATGAATGTATATTGCTGCATAAGTAGGGGAAGTTGACGATAGAAAAAGTTTATCATAAAAAATATAACGTTTTCACGTTTACCATATAGCTTGGTTGTTAGATTAGCATTAACGTCTTTTTTCAAGTAAAATATTTAAGTATTCAGATTTGTCAGACTCTGTGAAATCTTTTATTTAAAGCTAACAAGGATATATCGTATCGACGTAGGAATGGAAATGACTAATGTTAATTGACAATACCTCGTGGATATAACTTATGTCGAGTTGAAGGCCACAATAAGTGGTTTTTTTCCTTTCACGTGTAGGATTTTGCACAAATTCTGCTTCATATGAATATTAAAATAAGTCTTCTAATAACGGAGCGCAATTGGTACCCATGGGAATTTTTTTTATTTTTGAAATACTGGTCTCCAAAAAACCACATAGATGTTGTCAATCAGAAACTCAAGCTTATCTTTGGTGTCAACTTCAGAGTACTTATGTGTGCAATCAGAATAATGATTTTTTTTTTCAATTCTGTTAGACAGTTTTATTTATTGTTTACCTGAATTCCTGCGAAGAACAGGGCACTGGATGTACTGTTACAGGGAGAATCTACCACTGATCTTTTGGCACCAACTACACAATGAATCTGCATTTTCAATTCAAAAAAGATATATCACTCTAAACGCATGTATGAACAAAAAATTACAACAAAAAAGAAAGAAAATGCGGTTATCTGCCTACCGAGCATCCGATCTTTTCCCCAGCTTTATACAGATCTTCTGTTGTGAGTACAGCGTCACCTAGTGTTGAGGTGTCCACAGTCTGGTTTTCTATAATCCTAGTGTTATCTACGTACCAATCGATGTGATAATACAGAGTGTTATCCGAAAGTGGAGTGAACTGACAGTGGAGCTCCACTATGGGATTCCATTGAGTGCCGATAGGTTTGGTGATTTTAGTGTAGGAAACCCCTTGGTATACAACTTGGAGATTCGATGGGGTGTCTGTTACACCTGAATGTTCGAAACACATGACATAAATACTTGTAACAGGAATTATTTTATGAGAAAAACCTCAACTTTGTAAGATTGATATTTATTACTTACAACTGTCCGTTTTCTCTGTAAAAGAAATAAAAACAAGGTGACAAACTTTTCAATTCTTTGAGAGCGAAAGAAGGAGCAACAACCAGACAGAGCGACAGGAAGAGGAAAAACACAAGAGAGAGAGAGAGAGAGAGAGAGAGAGAGAGAGAGAGAGAGAGAGAGAGAGAGATGGTTTTTACTTACCGAAGCAGTATGCCGAATTGCATGAATCCAAAGACTTTAGTTTGTAAACAAAATAATTGCTACACTTCTTCACCCTGATGTTGATACTCTTCTGGCATGTTGATGAGAATCCTACACCACAAATTTCGACATCTATCTCGTTTCCAACTGTGCTAGGTAGAACTCCTTAAAACACAAAGGATAAAAATATTAATATTAATATGTCTTTTATCAATTCAAGTGTTGAATTGTATGCATTGAAATATACCTTACGAGGTTTTGGTAAACTTGCAAAATTTATTATCTAATATGGGCAGTATCATATCAAACTAAAAAAAAGATGCTATGTTATCCGAAAAAGAAATCAATTGAAAGTGAACATATTCAATTAGGTATATTCACATCATTGAACACAAAATTACTTGCTCAACTTCATCCAATATTTTAAGAGGGTCTACTTGCCTACCCTAACAAAAATATACTACAGTTAACTATTATTTACCATATTAAATCAAAGTGTCGAAGTTATCTCTATAGTAAATCAAACTTTTCAAAGTTTTCACTATAGTGTCAAAGTTATCACTATAATAAAAATTAAAGTTTCCAAAGTGGTCACCATTGTAAATCAAGTTTTCATAGTTTTCACTATAGTAAATCAAAGTATTAAAGTGTTTACTATGGTAAATCAAAGTGTCAGTGTTCACTATACATGTAGTAAATTTAGGTGATAAAGTCTTCACTATAGTTATCCAAAGTATTCGTAGTGTCAAAGTGTTCACTTTACTTAACTACAGTAATTAAACTAAAGTTAAGTATAATATTTTCTTGTTAGGGTATATAAAATTTCATTTATAAAATCACGTGGATTTGTTGCTGACTTTTATTTTTATATATGATTTTAATACTTTTAAATAACTTTGATGTCTCGGGTTTAAACAATTATTATTTTCTATTCAGTGTAAGATATTTCTATCCTTGTCTTCCCAGAATGTGGTTGTTAAAAGGCAAGCGTAGACAAAAAAGAATATTCAACCTACAAACAATATGAGTATTTTCTAAAGAAAAAAAAACAATGCATGCAATAATCCTTATTCAAGAAATTCCATTAATCATTTTCTGAAGCAATCTATTTATAGAATTCCCAAAGATATCTCACGCCCGAGATTTAAAGCACACTAAAGAAGCTCTATATCTTTTAAGTTATAAATTATAAAACAGTGTACATTTAAAAGTATACTTTTCTATACAAAGATTCTCAATGAACGGAAATTAGAGGAACCATTCCAAATTAACATATCCGATTTGAAAGTACAATAATGACATTTTAAATAGAAAACTAGCTGGCATTTTACATGGGGTTTGAAAAAAAAGGTTTCACGGCATTGATTCTCTTAACGTCATCAAAGCGTACATCTGCGGTTTCTTTGTTCATTTTACATTATGACTTCATATATAAGTAGTTAAAAATATGGAAATCCTTGACATATCTGCACATGAACAATATGAAAATGTTTAGATGTTCATAGGGTTAAATAGAAAGTGAGTCCCACGGAATAAAAGCAAAATCTGTTAATCATACCTTTCATCCAGTAGGGATAAAGAGTACCACAAGCCGTAAGTCCAGGTGGTGATGTTGGCATCAGATACGAGGGGGCGCTGTACCATCCCTCTGTTAGATAGTAATCACAAAGAGGCACGGAATCCATGGTAAATGCTGGACCTCTCTTCAGAAGGTCGCCCAGCTCTTGATGATTTGAAGTAAGACATGGATCTCCAGAAACTGACAAAAGTTAGGGGGAAATAAGTAATGAATGAAGAATACTGAAAGGGTGTAAAGTATAGGATACAGCTAAAGAAAGTAGGTTTCCTTGAATTTCTAAATCTTTTAAGACTATCTTATGCAGGCATTTGCAGAAAGTAAAATTTTAGCCTTTTGATAAATGTGAGTAATATATACGACTTTTTAAAAGTAAAAAACACAAATCTTATGTATTTTTTTCTTTAAATTTTCTGAATACAATCTATTTCATAGCATTACATATGTATAGTCAGAAATTGGAGAACATATCACCAGCGTATGAAGTTCATATCGCCAGTTTAACAAGATATGCAGGAATGAGCTTTTCATAAGAAAATTTCTTTAAACACTGACACCTAAGAAAATAGAATATACGAAACGCTTAAAATGTTAATGAAACACTATGACCAAAAACGAAAATTAAGATCTACCAAATAGTATTTGCAATTATTTTTGACATATTAAAATAAGTAACAGTCTTTACCCTAGAAAGCCTATTTGAACAATAGTCTGTAGAAGAGAAAACTAGAACAGTTAAAGATTAGAGATGAGATCGTGTGTCGTTAACCGTTAAAGAGTAAGCAACAAATGTCTTCCGCTACTCCTTCCAGAAAAATCCGTCGACAAATCATGGTGTAAATAAAAGCTTAACTATTTGCATGAAAAACGTCACTCAGCATTCGATGTAACCTTACAATGCATTTGCAGACAAAAAAATTGTATTGACAGCAGATATTCCACGGTTTTTTTGTTTAAAAATAAACGCAGGTTCTTAAAAAATTTTAAGTACATATTGCCCTTCAAAAGAAATTTACCAATAAATTTTATCAATCAGAAAACAATACAGAACATTGTTTTAAATGAAGAAGATTTTACATAATCAAAAGTAATGAAAACTAAATCTGTTTTTAGAGTATGTTTTTATTTTTACAAACATTTTAAATTACTTATTATTTGCTTAAAGTCTTAAGTGAAGTTTCGTAAATTGAAATATATGAAATAAATAACTCGCACCCCAAAATATGGATCCAATTATTGATATTAGGTAGAACACGTTGATTTTTACAGAAGCCATGGAACAATATTTTTTCTTCAAGCTTAATACATATTTTTTGTCAGATTTTAATTATTTAATCCAACAAGTAGTTCTACCTAATGCATATTTCTTTAAGTCATCCTTTCCTAAATGGAAATATGTATAAAATAATATGGGTAATATACAATGAATGTTGCACCATGTATTTTTAGGACTGATTGAAATACTTTTAACTCATCCCTTCCCTTTAAATAAAATCGAGTTTAAAATTCAATATGGTCTATGACGTGCAAGACTGGAAGCAAATCAGTCGAGTCCCGGAAGTTTAATTAGCTGTTTCTATCTTAAACATTGCTTTTAAACCTAACAGCAACTGTTTACAATTGTTTATTATGTTTCATTTGAGGGCGATATGATAAATGAAAATTGATTGGTTACATGAATTTGATAGATAAAGCAAGTTTTTAATTTCATTTCATGTAAAAAAAAAGTAATAATAACAGAACTATGTATTTGAGAAGCATTACATTTCGGGACCCGTTCTGTTAATATTATATTAAATTTTCCCCTTGACAATCTTTTAGTAAATATTCTAAGCTGATATATTAGTACGTGGTTCCATTTTAAGCTAAAAAAACCTAGTTGGTTTGCCAACTATGAATTTCTATTTTTAGAAATCGAATGATTTATTGAATATTTTTCACAGAAGACTGCACATTTTAAGACAAACGAGATTAAAAGTCCCCTGATGGTAGAGAGGGGGATTCCAGTGGAATTTCCAATGTTTCTCAAATGTATATATCAGTTTATTTCCATTTTGAAAAAAACCAGTACGACCTTGAATCACAGAATTATGTATGCTTACATGGTGAAAATCAATAGTTAAATTAAACATTGCTTTATTACTATCCTTTAAATTCACAATTGTTAGATGAAAAAACAAATAGATGCATGCATGATTAATTTTTATTTTTCTTTGCAACATAAAATGTTTTTATTTTCAGATCTATGCAATTAGTTTATTTCTATTTGTTTTTATTTTTATAAAATAAGGGAATATTCTATATTCGCTGCACTGATAAAAGGATAAATAAGAGAATTTTTCTTTGCACAGATATTAATAGATGATGACAAAAATCCAAATTGATTACACATGGGCGATGCAATGGTTTACTTATAAGGACTTCATATTGCACGTGTTTTAGAAATGTGAATAATCGATTGCATGAAAATAAAGTATTTTTGTTTTATTTTATAATTTCTTCTATCTTTAATAAAAATCCTCGTACCTAAGCAGCTAGCAGCGCACTAGACTCCTTATTAGTTGAAAAAAAATAAAAATATGACTTTATATGCTTCTTACCTATATATTTTAAACCATAGTGAATTCTGTTTCGCTTTCTTGAAATTCATTTAAAATCTTTTCGTCTCGACGAAAAAAAAAAATAAATAAAAAATCTCTATAATTTTTCAGTAATGGCCATGAATATTTATTATTTATTCTTTTGCATAAAGAAGATTAAAAGGAAAATTAATAGCATTTAGAAAAGGAAACAAGATAGATCAAACTATCATACAATATAACTTTTTGATAATGCACAAAATAAAAGCTGTGTTTGTATTTTCTGAGCAATTAACATAATTTTAAAGAGATAACTTTTTTTCAGGACGTAGGACCTATTTGTACTGTCTGATATTAAAACATTTGGCATCAATTCAAAGGATTTAAAATAACCGAGCTGTGCAAATTAAAATGCCAGCCAAGGGGAATCCCGGCGGTCTGTTTAAATTCCCATTATTGCGTATTGACTAATCACGTCGAAGTAGATCAAACATAAATATTCATTCATTTCTTGTGCCTCATGTGGTATTTGCAATAATTGAACTTCCTAGTCTTGGTCAGGCAAACCTTATTCTAGACTCTGTGAATACATAAGTGTTGAAGAAAGTTACCAATAAAAGGTAGTAGAATTAATCTTTTTTCTAAATTTCAATATTAATAACATTGATGTTTGTCTTAAACTATATATTTTTAATGCATCGACATAATTCTTAAATCTGTTTTGCTTTGTACATGTAACTAATAATACTAATTGATTTTTTATATTAATTATATTGGTACCTAATTGTGATAATTAATATGCAAAATTGAATTAAAAATGACACAATTGAAATGATATTATCTTTCTTTTCTTTTCAAAATATCATAGAAATAAAAATGATTTTTCTTTCTTTTTCCAGATACAGTGCACACTGCCTTTCCTGAAATGGATCCGTTCTGGGCAGTTTTCCATCTTTTCTACCTTATTCTCGGTTTTCATTTAGGAGGTTGTCCTATGGTTGAATATTTATATTCGTATTAACGTACTGTTGTTTTTCCCCCTAATTGATGATTTTTTTTTTATTGAAACAATATTTTAAAATATTTCAGGTGCTGTATATTACTGCAATGTTGCAGGTATGATAATTACACATATAATTGTATAAATATTTTTCTGAAACATTGATTTTAAAACTATTCATAAAGTTAACCTTTTTGTTTTGGTTTAACTTTAGATCCATGTGCGCAAGCAAATGCATCTTCGTTCTTTGAACCTTATGCAAGATTTGAAAATTGCCAATATGATTCAAAACACGCACCATGTGACCGTTACATAACGCCCCAGTGGTACAGAGTGAATGACGTCATGTTGACACAATGTCCAGAGCTTCTCAGTTGCGGCGCTGTGTATCCTCTTTGGCTAAAAGGCAGGTTACATGCATTTCATTAATTATCTTAAACACGTACTTGGACATATTTATTGTGAATTAATGACATTAAGCACAATATCAAGAAATTATTTTGTTTTGAAGTAAATTCCATTATTTTTTTATGAAGAGAATTTCAAATTACATTTATTCTATTTCCCTTCAGGATCTTTGCCGACAACTAGTGACGGTATTGTTGAAAGAAAAGTTTGCAAGGTCGGATTTTCATCTTGTTGTTCAAAAGAGTATGATGTTAAGATCAAACACTGTGGATCCTTCCATGCTTATTGTCTGGGGGCTCTCGATTCCTGTTCTGAACGATATTGTTTTGGTGAGTTTCTTTTTAAATTAAAACTTGAAAATTGCTGATGATGTACTTTTAAAAGAGAAATAATCCCATGAACAAATCAAAGAAAACATACACAGTGTAAATATGAAATATATAAACGGTATGTTAACATGCTTAAAAGTCAATTGAAATATGTATTATAAATAATTATAAATTAACTTCAATTAATGTTGATTTTTTTATAAATAAGGAAAACAAGGTTTATGTGAATATCCAACTGCAAGTACAACGTCAACAAAAACAACATCAAAACCAACTACGGTCAGCCCACCTATGACTTGCTCTGAGGGTACGTTGATAAAATAAACTTAAACTTAGTCTCATAAGACTTACAAAATGTATGTTTCCTTAAACAGAAAAAACACGAATGATATGTCTAACATTCGTTTTTCTAGATCCTTGCATAGAAAGCAATCTCAAAGCATTTCCAGAGAATGAATATCGCTCCAAGAATTGTGAATACAAACAAGGACAGGGGTACTGTGATGACCACCTGACAGCTGGGTGGTATAAATCTAGTTCTCTCATGCTAAATCAGTGTCCAAAGCTGTTGAGCTGTGGGTCCATATACCCTGTATGGATGAATGGTGAGTATAAATTAAATACTCCGATTGGTTATATTGTTTGTTTGATTACATCTCCTTTACACAAATAAAACAATATTTTGAGAGCTCTGGTGATTGTTTAAAACTCTGAGTGTTGACTTATGAAGAATTAAGCTTTACGTTGTAAACAGGAAGTCATCCTGCCACAGGAGATGGTGTTGTAACAAGACAGGCCTGTCAAAGAGGGTTCCACAGCTGTTGTTCTAAGTCGTATGACATCAAAGTAAAGAACTGTGGCAAATACACCGCCTACTGTCTACACGGAGTGGATACTTGTCCCTCACGGTATTGCTTCGGTATGCGAAATATAGATTATGTTTTGTGTTGTTATATCACTTCCATCATACATGTAGGTACAGGTTAAAGATATAACAATAACATTCCTTTACCGCCATTTTTATTGTTTACATTGTTATAATTTTAGGTGATCAACCGTGTGAAACTGATGAAGTCGATAAAGGAAAATCAGATGCAGATGGTAAAACAATTCTTGAGAAATAATGATTTGAACATGTTCAATGTATTCTTGGTTTTCTTTTTTGACCAAAGAATTTAATTAAGCTTTCATTAATTTTCAGATGATGACGGCCATAAGCATGTCAATCTGGAGATCATTCTCGGCGTAATACTTTGTGTTGATTTTGATTCTGGTCGTGATGCTGATAATAATGAAAAAGAGATTTGTTAAAGGGTTTGTTATCTTTTTTGCAAATTTGCATTGGGCATATCTTTTTACTATCACATCGGTGTATTAATGAAATGATTAAAAAGTATTTCTAATATAATCCTTTCATTAATAAGATACTAGTATGCTTGATTTCTTCTGACCATATATAATGAAATTGTGCATTTTTTCACTGCATTATTTTCATTTTTCATTTAATAATCCCCATGTTTTCTTTTCCGTTCTCTAATTACATTTTGAATTATTACAACAAAGAAACTTAGCACGTGAAATAAAAAAAAATAACCATCTCATTTAATACCGATGTACCTTTCTTTTCTACAGGAATAGTAAAACAGGCTCGACTGTCAACATCCGGGTGACAGAAAAAAGTACACAAAGGATAAACAATCTTTCTTACTCGACACAGGATCTGAAGTGGGGGGATCCACCACCATATAAGCCCTGATGTCCTTCTATTAAAATACGAAACCAGATACGGTAAAACTGTCTAATCCGACGCATGAATTATCCGACACACTGTGAATTCAAACGTTAAATTTCTTTCCCATTTTACCGATTTCCATGTTTTAAATACTGTGCAACCCGACAGCCAGGCTTGTCAATTCTGACACAAATTTTTTCATCTACTGCATGTTAATAATTTGATTAAATTTATTTTGACATTAAATGTTGTAAAATACATGTTTATAAAAATTAACATTTTTGGGATTTCAATTTCAAATTTTTATGTTTATATTGAATAATTTTGTAATAATTTTCTTAAGATAAATTCATTAATGCGAATAATTTGTTTTCTTAAGAACCATTTTCGTAGAAGATGAATCATACAAACCTTACATATTTTCATACGATGAAGCAAAAGAAAGAAAATAGTCTTATGTATAGAAATATTAAGAATAAAAAAAAAGTTTAACACAACTATGCTATAGGATGTCCTAGAGCAACATAAGATATCAACTGTAAAGATTAATGCCTAATTAACATATAATTGACACATGTAAGTTGTCCAATTAATTGTACCCCCATTATCCGAGCGAAAACAGCATTTCACACGGGTTTAATAATTAGAGCATGGACATATTATAAGTGCAGATATCAGAGATGTTCAACCGTATACCTGTACCTATTTGCTATAACATCTATTCTCTTTTTCCTTTAGGTGAAAGTAATAAAAAAGTTTTTGCGGGTGTCAACTTTTAAAAGGTCGATATTACTAATAATTTAAAATGTGTTTCTAAACACACAAAATACAGATGAAAATTTCATATCGTATTTAATACATTTTAAGATGATGTAAAATTACAAATTAGACCCATAGTGCACAATAGGCTCCCACAACTTTTCAAAAAAAGAAAAGGTAATAGATACACTCTTTGAAAAAATCAGAATTTATGGTGAAGCAGACATCGTTAAGCTTTTTGTGGTGAATCTGTACAACTGTACACTTCTGTACAACTGTTTAATTCGACTTAATATTAAATATACACATGTTAGTATAAGATTTGACAATGAAACATGGGTATATATACAATACTATGTATCTCGTTTTTGACAGATTCTTTTTCGTTCTTATTTTTTTACATTAATGAACTCAATAATAGACTTTTATTGCAACACAGTGAGGTAATATAAGTATAACACAGGGAGTAGCTATCATTAAAACTGCATCACCTGCATACGGAAATATTAATATCTCAGTTGATTCGATACGCAAGAGCTTTCTTCGTATGAACAATTTCTTAAACGTAGGTAAATTATTGACAAGGAATTTGATGAAGCAAGAATCTCGTTCAAAGTCATCATTTTATTTTCTATAGGTTGATAATAATGACATTTCAGCAAATACAAGTTATCATTGAGTCAAATATGTTTACTGACGTTTTCCATACTAATTGTTAGTCCATTATTTATACACCGAATTGGCCACGGTATTTTTCGTTTTTTCTAGATCAGGACAATCTTCACACGGCGGGTTTGACCGGTCAAATAGGAGATAGCTCACTCCTCCATATATGATCCCACCTCTGATGTTTCGGAGGTTTTTGCTCTGCTTATTTTATATTGTTTTATGGACTATTGAGATTGAATACTATTCGTTATCTCCATATCTATCATTTAAGCTATATGTGTAAGTGCTATTTAGACAAAATTGGGTGCACATGTTTTAAGTTTATAGTATTTATGAGAAACGATAGTTTTTGAGTATATATATATATATATATATATATATATATGATATATATATATATATATATATATATATATATTTATATAATGAATATTTGTAAAGGTAGCTGTAAAATCGTGATTATATAAATTGTATAATGTTTTCTTTGTCAGCTTACCTCCTATTCATGAATTGTTACAACGATGAGAGCACCGTGCTTTAGTGTCTACTTGTAACACCTCAAAATATTAAAAAAAAAAATTACGTTTACTAGTACACAGAAAATTTTTAAATGAACAGCAATATTTTCTAGCTTGTTTTTAAAGGTATGAAAAATATATTTTTTTTAAAATAGAAATAACTACCGGTAGTGCCCAAAGTGTTTTCTACATAACCTGATTTTTTTTTTATCTGAGCTCATCAACAACATTCAAAAGAAAATTAATTGGGTAGAAATAAAAGAGGGATAACTCTTCATCGAGTATGAGAAAGACATTGCGCCAGCAAATGAAATGAGGTTAAAAAAAGTAGATTTAAAATTAATTTAAAATGCCTGAAACAATTTATTCCATTAAAATGAAAAAATGCTAGGAAATATTATACGATGATAATTTCACATTTTTCCTTTACTAGCTCAGTACATATTGAAAGGTTTGAATAAGAACTGCTGTGTTTTTTTTTTGAATTTTTTTTTCTTGTAATTTTACAAAATATTCCTTTGAAGAAAATGTGAATGATAAAGCTATAAATTCGGATATTTGTTTCTTTTCAAAATACGATAAAGGTGAAATATTGCATAGAAACAATTCGGTATTTATATTGATATTTAGCAAACATACAGAGATATACACTTTTTAAAATTTTGTCGTAAACATGAGATTCCTAATTTTTAGTATTAAAGTAAAAATTTTAATTATATAGATATTCATCTTTTTAAAATTATTCCATTTTTATATGCACCGTAATGTCTTATCTTCATCCAAATTTAATGATTTTACAGAGTGTATATTTTTTCAATATCAAAATTTGTGTTTATATTAACGTCTTTGAAGCATTCACAACTTCCTGATAAGGTATTAATTTACTTTTAAATACCTCAATCTGATTGGTGCCTCACGCTTTTAAACAGAAAGAGAGGCTTAAATTTAAAGATCAAAACGCCTTTAATATAAAATCATTTGAGACATATTTTGGTTTAACGAAACATATCAAAAATTGATATATTTCTATGTGAGAGAGGTCATTAATTTGCTGCAGAAATAGTATTCAAGATAGGTTAGTAGTTTACACTCGTCTCAAGCTGAAAAAATCGAAAAGATTTAATCTATACACTGCATAAAGAAAACATTTAAAAGGTCATTAAGGAATAAATGTGTTCTGTATCTTGGCTTACCAACAACAGTAGTCTGAGTATATAATTTGATTAAAACAGCATTAAAGGACACATCAAGTGTGTCTTAAATAAGTAAACCAGACGTCGTAATAGTGGTCCGTCTAAAGCTTAAGTCAATGCCTTTTTGTTGTACTTGAATATGGCAGACGTAAAGAAAATCAACTGAAAAAAATACAAATAATGATTCACAAAAGTGTCATTAGTGTCAAATTGACTTTAATCTGTGTCATGATAATAAAGAAGGACAGCATATCAGGGACATTTATAAATCATGTCTCAAACATTCATGATATTTATAATTTAAATACTAATATAACTTGATCTTTAAAATGAAACATGCTTATAATTCGATAACGAAAATGTTAATTTCTAACTTCTATAACTGACAAGAAATCTGTGTTTTTTTACATTGGATAAACTGTGTTTTTTTAACATTGGATAAAACAATCACCTTATAAATCAGAAGAAATTGAATTTCTATTGCGCAGGCTTAATAGATGACTTTCATTGAAATTTAACCATCTGTCAATTAAGAAATGAATTTACTCTAATATATTGTTCATTTTTTAGAATGGTATAAAAGGGGTATATGACTTCATATCATAATAATATTATTATTTTTTTTTATTCATTCTTGTATTTCACAGAAAAAATTATTCATTTTTTTTAAATTCACACCGAATCTCATACAATAACTATATTCTACATTCCTTTAGTAATAAAAATGCATAAAGTATTAATGTTTAAAGTTTTAAATTTTCATATTCTCTTTAGATTGAACATACTGTTAGTTTTCAATGTTTATCTGGAGAATAAAATGGATAATTAACGGAAATATATATAAGAAAATAATGGTTTCTCGTTTTCAATTCCTGTTGAACTGACAGCTTCCTATTTAGGTTTTAATACCATACGTTGATTAACACTTCGTTTTTTATAGGTAATTAAATGAATGAATGAAAATCTAAATGTTAAAATCAGTAAATCATGAAGATGAAATTTTTGAATACATTTTGATAAAAGAACCATTAGATACATGAATTCAAGGTCTCTGTTGGAGAGTGTGGAGCCTTTTTTTAAAATAAATTCTAAAGAGAAAATGAAAAAGACATCAATTATAAGCTGTTTCTTGGTATTTGGCCGTAGTATTTCATTTATTCGGGAATTTTGTCCCAATTTCAATAAAAAGAAACTGAGGAATTCAATCAATAACGATGCGTTATCAAAAAGTTTGCAGACTGAGGAGATAAAATTAGTACAATATAGTCTGTGCTTTCAAAATTTATATGGAACATAAAACAACAACCAAAAAAAAAATTAATAAAATAAAAATAAAGAAATGTGAAAAAATTTAACTTGATACGTTCATTATTTGCCAAATTGTTTTAAAATAAAAACGACATTATACGAAAGCACTGCGCTGTCGCCGTTTAGTTTCATGACGTCCGACAATATCACTTTTTTTCAATGTCCGCTTCTTCTACCTCATACACTTATTTTGATGAGATTCTATGGAGCTGAGTAAGGACTTGAACCCGCCTTCTTTATATGATTTAACAATGTAATGAACATCGGCTTTCAATGAATATTATATTCTTAATGGATTTATACATTAGGAGAGATCCTCGCTTAGTTTTGTCAGCATATTTTGCTTTTTGAGGTCAAATATCTACAACACATGATCAACGTTATTCCTTGACCTGATTGATTTTCTCAATGAATCAATTTTGACATTAAAATACAAGCACTCTGGATGAATATTATTTCTCTGTAGCCAGTTTAAACATTTCTTAAGTCTATACAGGTGTAAACAGGGGCAAAACTTTATAGAATGTTGGAAAAGGAAACCCCTCCCCCTCTTGACGTCATTTTCAAGGCCTTACTTATTTGGACACTACATGTAAAATTTACAATAAAATTTCATATAACTTCCAGAAATAAGTAAATTTTTCATATTTCATACAACAATTGTGTTTTAAAACATGGCTGAATAAACGGAATTTTTGGATGTCTAATGTTCGAATATCAATTGAAATTTTTTTTTCTCAGTTACACATTGGTCGCGAAAACGTCGTGTTCGAGGTTGCTCC